CCCCCCTCCCGAGGAGCGGTGGGCGCAGCACAGCAGCAAAAGATGAGGCACAAGGAGTTCATCCAGCGAGCTCTGCTTTCCCAGTACTGTCAGGAAAACGTTAAGCATACGTGCGTTGTGTTCTTAACAAGTATCAGGGCAAATCACTGGTAATTACTGGTAATCTTCAGGGGCGCTGTTTGAATAAATTGCATCTTTGAGCAATAACGTGCCACGGGCTCTCTTACACTGACTGCCTCTAAATGGTGGTTTCAGGGCTCGCCGCTCCATAGCCTGGTGTGAGCTTACTGGAGCTATTAATTTGCTTCGCTGTTTCATAGAAAAGCTCTCTGCCTGTGGCATGTTTGCTTCGCTGCCCTGTTAAATAGAGCTTTCATTGTTTCATTTCAGTTCCAGCGCTGAATTCAGCCAGGTCACTTGATCTTGCTATTTTTGTATATAAAATATGTCTCTTTGTGTGCAGTCTAGAAACAACAGCTTGTAGTATCATTGTGATGCTTACTGCCCTTTCGTGCCTTTAAGCATTTCTAGTTTAAATGCTGCAGGTTGTCGCTGCAACAACCTACTTACGTAGGCGTGCCTATTTACATGCACTGGCATGCTTACTTGTGCACCACAGCTGTAAACAAGTTTGTTCTTTCCTCATAAATTCAGCTAGTTCAGTGGTTCTAAACCACTTGGACTTACTTTCTTTTTGAGTGTTGTGCATTTGCACCACGAACTCTGAGGCTCCGGAAGATGTTGTGGTTCACCACACTGCACACCTCACTGTGGCCGGTTACTGGTCATCTGCGGGCTGGGCTGAGACCTGCTGCTTTTGTTTATCTCAGTGTGGCTGGGTTTTTTTAATAGTTCCTAGTTTTGGCAATGGTAATACAGCCTTTGCTTATGCAGGTAAACAGTAATGATTTATTTGTTACTTGAGGTTTGTGGTGAGACTTTTTCTCTGGACACTGTGCCTCTTCACAAGGTGACACTATTTAAAAGGTAGAGGTAGTAAAAATAATAGCTAAGCATAACACTTGAACATATATCAGGGACAGTAGAGATACGATGAGGGGTCATGGTTTTAACTGAAAGAGGGTAGGTTTACATTAGATATTAGGAAGAAATTCTTTAATCTGAGGGTGGTGAGACACCAGCACAGGTTGCCCGGAGAAGCTGTGGCTGCCCCATCCCTGGAGGTGTTCAAGGCCAGGTTGGACGGGGCTTGGAGCAACCTGGGCTGGGGGGAGGTGTCCCTGCCCAGGGCAGGGGGGTTGGACTAGATGATTTTTAAGGTCCCTTCCAACCTAAACCATTCTGTGGTTCCTAGGTAACTGTACACGAAAATCCTGTCCTACTTGTAAAGACCTATTCTTCACATACGTGAATCACTGGTCTCTTGAGTATGAGCAGTAAAATTCTTGGTTATTTTCTGGGTAAAATGGATTCTTAATGATCCGTCTGTCTAGTTGTCAGTTGATAATAAGCTGACTACAGATTAATGAGCAGTCTCATTGCTTGCCTTCATACTGTAGCTGCTTACCCAACTTCTTTCTGTATGCTTTGAAATTCTCTATTCTGTATCTGTTAATGATTGTGTGTGATATACAGCTGGGAAGGAAGCTCACCCACAGAATTTCTGTTCATCTGTTCTCTGTCCTGGGAGATTTTCCTTACTAAATATACCCATGGGACTTTTATTTTGATAGGCTTTATAATTATACTCACTTTAAATTTCAGTTCTGGTTGCAGTAGAGTTTACATGAAAATCACTTATCTCTCTTAGCAGGGACCACCTTTGTTTCTGTGCAGCACTTTAGAAGTAGGATCTGGGGGGTTCTAGGCTCTGCTGCTTTGCAAGCATTACTAGGGACTTTGTTTGCCTTTTTTTGGTATAAAAGTGCACAGCACTGTACAATTGTCTTAGAGTACTATCTAAATCTCTCAGTGGCTTAAGTCGAGACTGTTGCTGTAAGTTAACTTCTGTTTCTTTGCAGGCTGCATGCAATTTCATCAAATCTCATGTGGACTCCAGCAGTGTCGATTCCCTCTTCTATGCTGCACAGTCCATCCGGGTCCTGTCTGGCTGTGAGGTGAGTTTGGAGCCTTGAGCTCTGAAGACAGATGTTACCAAGGAAATATTTATCTTTTTCTTGGTTTTATTTTATGTATAACTTCTACTTTTACTTGGTTTTAGTGGGTTGTACTCTGTTGTCTCTTAGGTAAATAACTTATGAAGTGTCTAGGAGTACTCTCTACAAGGCGAAGTGTAAAGATACAAAGCAAGTATTTGGTCCAGAGTAATTTTGAGGGGATGTTTCTTGATTTGACATTGGTGGGGAAGATAAAAGGAGTCAGCACATTTTAATAGAATTCCCAGCAGCTGTGTCAATTAAAAACTCTTTGGGTGGATGATAAACTGTTTAGATGTAGACCTTGTGTTGAAACACTGCAGTGATACAAATGCAACCCACCCTTGCTGAATTGTGCGTGGGTATCCAAGCCCCATTCTTCATCAGTACCACTGGCTTCTGCACAATGATGTGATGCCAGATGGAAAGCAGTAGCAGGTTACCAGGATAAATCTGAATTGTGGATTATCCTCACTAATTGGTAGTTGGCAGCAAAACTTAGGGATTTAATTAATTAAACTAAAAGTTAACGAATGATAAAGGGCTTTCTCCCAAAAGCTTGTAGTAGTTCACCAGTCAAGTGTGTGGCTCCAGGAAAAAAATAAGTGGCGGCTAGGCGGACTTGTTTTTTCAAGTATGGATCAACATTTTCCCTGTGTTTTTCCTCAGGTTACCATTTCAAATGAGACCAGGGAGCTGCTGCTTGCAGCTGTCAGCGAGGATTCCTCAATCACCCAGATCTTCCATGCCGTTGGGGCCCTGAGTGGCTTTGGCCTTCCTTTAGCATCTCAGGAAGCACTTGGTGCTCTTACTGCTCGTCTTAGCAAAGAAGAAAATGTTCTGGCGTAAGTTTTTCAGATGGAAATGATTCATTGTTGCATGTATATCCTCTAGGCGGTTGGATTTTTGAGTAAAGGTTATTTTAACACTTAATTTTTGTAATATAGGTGTAGTAGAGTAGGTGCTATGTTTTCAGTTGATGTATTTGTCCGGTTCATTATTGTCCCTCAGGGGAAATGAAACATATGGGTTTGGGTTATTTTTTGTGTGATTTTGCAAATGAGTGTATGTATTCAGTTTTGTTCAAGAATAATAGTTGGTAAAGAGGAAACATCCCAAAGAAGCCTCCTTTTTAAAAAAGATTCACAACAAATTTTTGACTTAATACCCAGCCATGGTTCTGTGTCATTTATGGTTGCGATAGGCTTAACACTCTTCCTCAGTCCTTTTGTTTGTAGGTTGGGATGCCAGTACTGTGAGGTGGAAAAAATGCAGTAAGCAGAAGGAATCTTGGCATTTATCACCAAAGAATTAAATGAAATTAATTAATTATTTCACAGAATTGCTGTGAAAGGAGAGCTTTCCTTAAAAGCTAGAGAAGAAAGGGAAGCTTTAAAACTTGCTTTGTTGACCCAAAAACATGGATTCCTGGAAGCCTCAGTAGCAAGTCTGGGGATCTGTGCTATGCAGAGATCAAAGTTTGGTTTCTCCTCTGCCTTTGAATCTATGAGTTTATTCTAAGCTTCCACTAAATCACTTCAGATTCATTGCCCTGAGTCAACTGAATGCAGTACCAGCTGTTTTACACTTCATTCAGAATAGAAACTCTAGTTGCTTTGATTTGAATGATGCTTTGCTTTTAAGGAAGGAAAATCATACAATTGTTTGGTTTTGTTTGTTGTTGTTTAAGAACCATCCAGGCTTTGGAGACGGCATCTTACTTGTCCCAGCAGGCAGATCTAAGTGGCATTGTTGAAGAGATAGAGGTAGGAACACGCTATGCTCTGTAATTATTCAGGAATTTGTTAGACCTCTGTAGTGCTAAAAGATGTATTAAAGTGAAACACAAAATGAAAAATTAACCTGGCTGATTCCTTGCATGTATGATTTGGGTTGGCTTGGCTCTTCCTTTCAAGCAGATGTTTCTTCTGGACTTTTAACTGTTTCACGGTGGACTGAGACACAGAAAGTTTTGACTTTTAAATATAATCACTAAAGGCTGAAGGTTTCTTTTTTTTCCCATTTCTAAATTACTATTACAAAATACCTCAGTGCTCCCATACAGTACTGTTGATTACAGCCCTAACAGTTAATTTCTGTGGATCTACTAGAATGCAATTTTAATTTTAGTAACTCTTTCTGTCAGGATCTTGTTGCTCGCTTGGATGACTTGGGTGGAGTTTATCTGCAGTTTGAAGAAGGAATTGAGACTACTGCACTGTTTGTTGCTGCTGCCTATAAGCTGTCGGACCATGTGGGTACGGAGCCAGCAATGAAGGAGGTGTGTGTCTGCCTCTTCCTCTGCACACTGTAGCTCACAAAAAGGACCTGACCAGTCCCTGTTGTGCAGGGCAAGAGGCCGGTATAACTGGGTAGAGTTTCTACTGGGAAAAAATAACGAGTACGCTCACTGAAAAAGGACATCTCGGAGGGAAAGCTGAGTAACAGAATGTAGGAGGACATTTCGTCTTTAAGATCACAGCCTGAATTTGCTTTGGTTTTTGTTTGTTTTTTTTTTTTATTTTCTCAAATGTACAGAAGGAAATTGCAAGTGAGGGTAGTTTTTCTTTGTTTATTGAGACAAGCTGTTGAAATAAAACCCTCTTGTCTCAGAGTTTGTTCTGGTATTTTGGCACTTGTCTAGTACTTTCCAGCATTTCAGAGTGTTTTGCAAATGTTACTTACCTGTGAGGAAGTACAGGCACCCTAATTTGGTCCTAATGTTGTCTCCCTTTTGGGCACCCCGTACGCCTACAGGAATCCAGATGCAAAAACTTGTCTGAAATGAAAGACTTGGAAATTCCTTTTGAGCTTGATTAAGCTAGAAATCATTACTGCGAGCTATCCACTTAGTACTTTTTTTTCCACAACAAGTTAACTGAGCTAGATGTACTTTTGATTGAGAATGGCAGCTCCCTAAAGCACAAGCCAAAGTGGCAGGGTTGAGACCGAAGCCAGTGTAAGACATCTGAGTTCATTCCTGGCTCTCTTCCATGCTGCTGCCAAACAGACTAATGCAAAGTAATTTTGATGTCATTTTTGAGGTGGTGATTCTGCTACACACAATTCAAACTGTCAGCGTCCAAATGATGTTTAAAAAAAAGACCAATTAAGGAAAATCATTTAGTTTTGTTTCAGAATTGTGCTGTCAGAAGTGCTATTGTTGGGGCTTAAAGCCTTCTCTCTTGTGAATGGTGAGAGTGCCTCCAGAATGCCACAAACTCTCTTTAAAAATTAACATGTAGTATTTGCAAAAATAGCTCCCCCTTGCCCCCTCCCCCCCAGTTTAAATGAGTGTGTCACTTGCTGATTAAGGTCTGGAGCTATGCCATGCCCTCCATGTAAATGAAAAACACTGCAGGTTTTGCACTATGCAGGGGTTTTGTAGCATCTGTCTGGATGTGTTCTCTAGTTATGTCGTGTACGTTGTTGCTCATTAATACAAGTAGGAGGCTGAAAATTTGAGATGCAGTGGATTTAATTTGAAAGTTTTCTTTGTAGGTTACTAAGTTGTATGCCTATTGCTTCATTTGGGATTATCTTTGATTATTCTCATTTCTGATTAGAATTTAGCCCACAATCCTGTGCTTGGATCAAAGTACAGGTAACCAAACCCTCTGTTTTCCAGACTAGCAGGGAGTAATAGAACAATCTGAATAACATGGCGTACCCTGCAGAGTGTGGCTCAGGTACCCTAACCCTACAAACTGAGACTGCGAAACCAGCTGGGGGACATGGTCCCACTCCAACTTCGGAGAGAACAAATTAGCTTTGGCACATCCCAGAGCCAGAGCTGGCTCTGTGCTCCTGGTGGTACTGCTTTAAAGCTAATCCTCTTAGCTTGAGGACACTGCTGAGCCTAAGGGGATAAGCCTGCATGGGCCTAGACTGGCGCCTTCCAGAGCCATTAGGATGCTTTGCATCACCTCTCGGTAGCCTTCCCAGCTTGGCAGGTAGCCAGGACATCTAGCCTAGTCTTTCTCTGCTGTATGAAGACAGTTGTACGGCTCCTGGAGCCAAACTGTCTTTTTGCAGCTGCACCAGTCTGGATAGTTGAGCTGATGGCATCTTCCGTTCTGAAACACGTAGTTTGAAGAGGTAGATCCCAATTCTGGTTTTGCAAGTTTTCAGCGCAATTACAGTGATTGTGGTTGGAACTTCTCAGCCAAGAAAAAGAACGCTAATGTGATACTCAAAACGTAGCTAATTTGGGGTTACCTCATAACTTGAGTTATTTATAAAGCAAATGGGAAATTAAACAGTCTTTACGAATGGTCTTTTTATTAATTGCATTATACTGAGCCCATTTGCAATGTTGTGGTAAGCTGCTGGTGCTTAAATGTGATTTGCTTTTTCCTCTTTCAGGATCAAATTATCCAGTTGATGAATGCAATTTTTAGCAAGAAAAACTTTGAGACACTCTCGGAGGCCTTCAGCGTTGCTTGTGCTACAGGTGCTTTATCCCGGAACCGCTACCACTTGCCTGTCATTATCGTCCCCGATGGGCCTGCAGCTGTGTCCCACCATCAGCCGGTACTCAGGGTGAGTCCTTTGCCTCAAATCTTAACTCATATTTTGGCTTAGTCTTCAGTATTGTAGCTTTAGGCTGAACGCGTAAGGTGATATCTTTCATTTTTAGCTCCAGGATTCAGGTTCCAGTAGATCTGGGGGGTTAGTGCTCGTATGAAGTGATTCTTAGGAGCCTCTCCTTACCCAGGGCTTACCAGGCACTACCTCGAAAAGGCACTGTGTGGTAGTCAGCTCTGCTGGTTACAAACTTTGGCTTTCCTGGTTATGTTAGAAAGAACTAGGTGAATCAGATGCTGGTCAGGAGAGAATTCTGGGTGTTTAATGCAGAGGGGTAGTGAGTCACCTGTGCTCCTGCAGTCCTTCTGGGACAATGCATTTCACAGAAATTCTTGTTTTTCTGTTGTAGCTACAAGTGACCGATGTTATGTCCCAGCCTCTGACGCAAGCTTCTGTAAAGCTCGACCATGCCAAGTCTGCATCTAGCAAAGCCACTGTCCTTCAGCAGACAGCATTTGCTGTGTCAGGGTAAGAAACTAATCTCGTTTTTTACAGTTTGTAAGACAAACAGGTGTTATTTAAACAGTGTTGGACTTATTTTCCTTATATTTTCTTCCACTAGAGGAATGTTTGTGTGATGGAAAACTCAAAATGCTGTAGTTGTGTTTGGTTGGTAGTGGGTGACTTAGCGTGTTTGGTAGTGATGGTGAATTTCTGTTGCTTTTTCTTTTGATTTGGAGTGGGGAATTGCAACATTCTTCTGACTTCAAAGACACTTTTAAGAACTCCTTTCCTGCTCTACTTAGCCATGTTAGTTTCCTTGCTGCATTTGTCTCTTTGCCTGCTTAACGTAGCATATGTGGAGTCATCTTGGTAGTAAGATATTACCTATTTGTGGGTTGCTGTTAGTGTCCTAGAGGATAGTAACACCTTGCTGGTTTTATTACAGAGACGTCTTTGAGCTGAACTTCATGAGCGTGAAACCTGCCAGTGGATATTATGATTTCTCTATCAGTGTTGATGGAGATAAGCGATTTATTGCTAACAAAGTTGAGGTGGGTGTGCTTTTTGGTGGCATTTTAATTCTGTGCCTGTTCGCTGAAACAGCTTCTTATTTATACCTGTTAAGGATGTTGCCAGTCCTATGGCATTTTTATCACATGTTTTTCTGTAATGCGTTGGATTTTGACTCAGGATTATGACCAGTAACCAGATTAATATATGATCAAAAGATTTGTGCAAATTTCAAAACTGATGTCACTTAGATGCTGATCTGACAGCATGCAAACAAAGGCTAACAGTGGAAGTATTTATATAGCAGCCCAAAGTAGCCATGCATAAATGATTTTTAAGAATGTTAGTTCTTCAGAGCATTCAAGATTTGAGTCTGTAAATCTCAAGGTTTGGCTGGCAGTTGTCTGGCGATTGCCTGATGTATGGAAGCTGACCATTTGTTGTTGCCTGTTTATATAAGCTTTAGAGCCCTAGAAAAGAGTCAAGGGGGTCTCTCAGCATCTCCTAACTGTGTATATGGTGATGCTTTTGTAGTAGAGGAACAGCGACCAAATCAAATGCAAGTGAAGTTTTCATTTCATGTATACATACCCCTTTTTGGTGGCAAGATCTGTTATACCCCATCTTTCTGAAGAACAGTTTATATAAAACACTCAGAGTTTTACTTTCCTCAAGTTTATTACAGTGAAAAGAATATGACCTCTGTGACTATTCATATAGTCACCTCAGTGTCAACAGCTGAGAATGCTCTTCTCCAGTGATGTCTATTCTCAGGGTTACTTTTTGCTCTCAGTTGCCTATTTAAGGAAAAGATTAGCTTTTAAAGTCTTCCAACATAGCTTGGAGTGGAGGAAGACACTTATTTACAACTGCTGACCTTTACTCTGTGTATCAAATTGATGTTGTCATTGTATTAGTAATGGCACTTAGGAGTGTCAAAAGGGGATTGATTGGTCCTGCTTAAGCTCGCTGCTGGCACACAGAGGTACCGGTAGGAATGCATTAACGCTGGAGCAGCTTTGTGTGAAC